AATATAATTGCTAATATCCAAGATGTGTCCAGTGACTGAGCAAGGATCCAGCTTTTTTCTTCCAGTATCACTGCTGTGGTTACAGCAGTGCTCTGCAGGTGCACAGCCACAAGCACCACTACCTTGAAAGGTGAAGTGACACAGTATGATGTTCGTGTGGGATTCATAAATCAGGCTTTGAGGATCCAATCCAACAGGATCCTCAGCATGCCGACAGATGTAGACAATACTATGGTTAAACACTTAAAATACTGCTACTTCCCAGGTAAATATTTCAGGATCACTTCCAACTGGAAACACTATTGTCTCATTTCTGAAAAGCTAGCTTACCTGCTGCTCTGATCTGAGTTTACAAAACCCAAATATTAAAAAAAATCCTGATAATATGTAACATTTACAAAGCTCATTATTTTTAGTTGAACTTGCATAAATCACATGCAACAAGTTGTAAATCCCTCCAAATGATCACCATAACTAATACTCAAATACTCAACTAATTCTCAAAAGGCACTTGTATCACTCAAAAAAAAATCACTTTCAGTTTTGACTGTTGTGCTTTTGAGGTGAAGAGAGGCAAAGAAAAAAAAGTGAAGATGGTGGATATTCTAGAAGTGACATATTCTAAATTAACTTATTTCACAACTCCAACAAGAAGCACAATCTTTCTGCTAAGTGCTATGAGAAATGTTGAATTACAATGACTTTTTACAAACAAGGGTGGAGTTGAAATTCATCATCCATCGGAAACCAGTTTAGCCTTAAGAATGCTAGCACTGTATTTGTCTCCACTACATTACCCAACAACAAGTGAACCAAACAAACATGACTATAATTATTCTGACATTCCAAAGTTTTATAATGTGATTTAAAGTCATTCCAGGAAACAAAAAATCCAACTCATTTGACCTCCATAATACGCTTAATCAAAAAGAGAGCGTTAGTCCCACAAAGCCAATATTTGCTATAGAAACAATTTAACAATAACTGCACCTATCTTATCGAGCTTCCTAGTAAAAAAATCCATAATCCTCTTCAGTTGCAAGAGTCAAAGTCCAAGTTTTGGTCATGTAAAATCGTCTATTCTTTTCAGGTTGTTGCTGTTCCTCCCCAAACTCTCCTGTCCTCCCAAACATTTCTCTGAAGAATGTGGCTGACCAGTACTTATCTTTGTGAACTAAAAGGAATTCATTTCAGTGACCTGTTTTTCTCATCTTGTGAACATACAAAAATTTCAATGGAAAATTGTTTCACATATCTCACTAGTCAAAGCAGATTGTACCCGTTGTGCCATTATTTCACTAATTTCCCTATATTATCTGTTCAGCTCAACATATGAAGCTACAACAAATTAATACCACAAAGGAGAAAGTACAAGTGAGGCAGTTGTTTGAAGGTTCTCCATGATTTAACAGCTCTTCAGTGATATTCCCCTTGCCTGATCTTCAGTCCTCTAACTGCAAGACTGAAGTTTTCTCCAGTTTGGCATTTCCAGATAACTGCAGGAATTACAAACTTAAAGTTTGTAATTAGCTCATGCTACCAGCTTCCTGACAAAGGTGAAGCTGCTTTAAAACACTGAAAACTATTTAACTATGAGACCGCATGTAGTACAGTACAAGTGTAAATTCTTATTGATAGACTGGAGAAAGTGAAACAGATAAAATGACAGTCATCTGGGAGTGATCTGGTGAAAAACATGGGCATAAACTATTTCCTGAAAACAGTGAAGCACTGCTGAGGGAGAACAGCAATGGCTACTTTTAAAGTAACCTTTCTCTTAGGCACAAAAGAACAATGATTGTCCTTATCAGGGAGGAGCAGCAAAGCCTGCCTCCCCAGCCCTACAAAGAAGTGCTTGGAATTCGAGACACAGCTTACCAACACAAGTAGAAATTCAGGTCAGAAAGAGCAGGAGACAGTAAGGCTTGTAGAAACATGCCTGTCTGCCTATTCAGAGGCTTCACATTGCGATTCGATTGAATCTGCCTAATGCATGCTCAGAACAACAGGAGGTGATTTAGCAATGTACCCGCACGCACAATGCCTCCCGCGCCCTTCCCACACCAAGGGCTCCAAGCTCTAACAGCGTCCCTGCAGGCCAAACCCTCTGTCCAGCTTCCCTGAACGATTGAAGATCAAGGTGTCCACTCCAACAACAACTACCTTTTGGGATCTGCGGGTTATTTTAAGCTCATGAAGCATTTATAGTCACAAGTTTTATTAAACAAACAAAAAGCAGTTACAACAATTAACCTCTCGGGGGGTCTAAGAACTTTCAGATGTTTGGAAGATGCTGCAGGGAGAACTCCAAAACCAAATGAAGGGAAAATTCACATTATTCTTGGTTCCTTCTCATTCCCTTAAATTACTTCTTTTTCTCACTCTTTGGAATGACCCTCAAAATATTTTATGCACTAGACTCTTAGAATTATGTGTGACAATTATATATTTTTATCTTCTTTAACCCAAAACAAATTACACCAAATATCAATAAGACATATACACCAAGATCAATAAATACTTTAGTAGTTTCCAGATAAAGTTATATTTATGCAAAGTAAAGCCTTTTCTGAGTATACAATCAGTGTATTTCTCAGGAATGTTTCAGCCAAATGCCTATCATTTGACCTGGGTATTCTGAAGATTTCGAAAGGAGGCATACACAAAGAGTTTAGCTCATTATATTTGCCAAAACAAAAGCTTACTCTAGAGACTACATGGACTTTCCATTTTAAGATAAAGATTAATTTCACAAAGTCTCTCTAGAGAGATTGGAAAAATAATTACGTCACAATGACACTGCTTTTTTTTGTCAGCCAGTATTACATATAGAAGTTTCTGGTCAATTGCAGCAGGTCAGATACTCATCTAAGAAAGACCCACTCTTATAAGCAGCTAGCCTACAATTTGACTCAAGTTAGAGGTAGAAATTAAACCATGGAGTCTGACACCATTTTTAGCAGGACACAGAGTAGGATCTATATGGGGTACTCATTTTTTTCTCGATGGGGAAATAATTCTGTCTCATGAATGACACAGGATCCCAAAAAATAGCTGATATAGTGCTAAAGGCTGGAGGAGATGACAATTGTATGACTCAAACTCCTTTCACTAATGTTTAGTTCTAGAAGGATGATAGTAAGTTTAAAACTTCCCTTAAAACTGCTTAAAGACATGAAATACAGTAACCACCTTCTTCTCCAGATGCAGATTCCCACATAACTAGCTAATAATAGTGTTTTCTTCATCATTTTCCTCCATCCTTAGCCTGGATCTAAGGACACCCCCTGCAAAGCCTACAGAAAAAAAGGAAAGCCTCCGTGATGCAACACTGAGAACAGCAGGAACCTAGCCCATAATTAAAGGTCTTAAATGCTGTGATAACACAGATGAAAAAAACTGACAGAAGAGAGATGTCAGAGCACTGGCCCTTTATAACAGCACCTTCAATCACTGAATCATCTGTTCTGCTCTGCTTAGGCTGCACTCAGATGCACTACTGACTAGATGAAGAAAGTTGACTATCACCAGCATGCAAACTATTACCCATATTCTGTCATCTTGTTGCTGTCCAACCCAGAAAAGAAGTCAGCAGGAGAACCAATGTGCAATTTAAATTGCTTGTCAAACTCAGATTTGGTTTGCTGGGTTAATATATAGTTATGAGGATTATGTTGCTCTGCCAACTGCATTTGTACCTTGCAGGCATACAGGGTAAGCAGAGAGCAGAATGAAAAACTCCTATCAGTAACCTCCTTGCAGACTGGAGATGGGGGTGAGTGAACGATATGGCCCTTCTCTACCCCTCCAATGAAAACAAAATATATACTGTATGTATACTGTTCAGCCCATGGGGCACGAAACAGAAACTAAAACCAGCAATGCTACACTAACACAGCATGAACCAACTGCCCATGCAGGGAAGATGATGTTTCTCTTAGGGATGCTTGATGGACATGGATTACAGAGTTCTGAAGATGCTGGCTACTGAAATGGATAATTAGTTTTTATTAGCTGTAACGCAGCCACTAAGCACTTTGAACACTTCACGCCAAAACATATCAGAAAACATACCTGTCATCATGTTACTGAACTGAAAACTAGATCCACACAGTAAAAGGCTGAAGGAACTGAATACACAATAAACCTTCAGACAGGAATGTGCTACATCCTTCTGCAACTCAGAAAGTGCTGCTGCCCTCACTGCTGAAGCATGAAGAATATCAATTATATCTAAATCCTTTAGATGTTTCTTATTAAAGAACGAATTCAGTAGGATGTTTATGCCCAGATTCCCTTAACAGAAAGCTGTCACTTCATATGAAAATATGGAAATTCATAGGTCACACGCATAATTAATTAAACAAGAGAATGATGTACAAGCTTCAATTAAACTCAGAAGGCAGTGATGCCCTTCAAAAGTGAGTCTGAGAAGAGCTGTACCTATCCCAGAGTATTTCTTAATGCAGAGAGGTGCTGGTGGCCCGCAGCCTGTCCCTAGGCTCTCAAGTATTTATGTGTCCACCCTGCCGGGGGTGGCAGGCACCGAGGCACGGCACCTGCCCGGGCTCGGCTCCCTCGGGATTTCTCCCCTGCACCGCGGCGCTGGTCGCCTCCCAACAGGGAAAGTTTAGCCCCGCTTAACGACCTCTAAGACCCGTTAAATACACCCAACGTTTGTGCCCTACAAAGGTTTCGGGGTGCCTGGTTTGCCAAAGGCAATTTACTAACTAGTTAAGCTTCGGCAGCCTTGCGGAGGAGAGTTGTCTTTTCCGCCCCCATCGCACACGCAACCGCGGCAAATTCAGCCCCGCGTCCCAGGGCAGCCCACGGACGGACCCGGCTCCGTGCGGGCTGCGGGGCCAGGCTCGGAGCCGAGGGCAGGCTGGGCAGGCGGGGAGGACGAGCTGCCAGCCCCGCGGTGCCCGGCCCCGCAGGCTGAGCCCTGCCGGCGGCGGCCGCGCCGCTTTCCGCGCTCCCCGCCGCTCGCCCCCACTCACCGCCACCGAGCCCGAGGAGGAGGCGACGAAGACGCGGATCACCATCTTCACCTCATGAGCCGCGGCCACAGGAGCGCTCGGGACGGGGCAGCGAGGCTGCGAGGAGCCGCTCCCCGGCACGGGACGGGGACGGGGCCGGGGCCGCCCAGCTCCACCTCGCCGCCGCCCCCGAGCGAGGCCACCGCCCGCAGCAGAGGCACCCCCTGCCCTGCCCTGCCCTGCCCTGCCCTGCCCGCCTGCCCTGCCGTGCCCTGCCGTGCCCTGCCTGCCCTGCCGCGCAGCCCCGCTCTCTCGGGCGAGCCGGCTCCGGCTCCCGGCTGGCAGGAGGCAGCGATAGCGGCGACAGGCGGGGGTGTGTGGGCGGCGCGCAGGGACCGACGGGCGCTGTAGTTCTCCCCGGGCGGGGACAGCCGTAGCACGGAGCCGGGAGGGAGCCGGGAAGGAGCCTGCCCGCCCCCAGCTGCCGGGGAAACGGGGGCTTGCCGCAGCCTGCCCGCCCCAGCGCCCGGGAGAGGCCGAGAGGGGCTGGTGCCGCCCCCCAGGCGCGCTGCCCGCAGGTCGAGGTGAGCAACGCCTGAAACTGCTCCCCCGCCAGGAGCGCTGCTCCGCGCTCCGGCTCAGGCTGCTCCTCCTACCCCATGCGGAGCCGCCAGATCTGATCCGCTGGGTCCGGTCTGGCACCTTGGTCGCCGCTTACTGCGGCAGAGGGGTGCAAAATAACCCGTTCTGGGTAGGCAATCCTGTCAAGGCAAGCAACAGGGACAACGCAGGAGGGACAGGACAATGGGTGAGAGGGCTGTGCTACGCCATATATCCCAAAGGAGTTAAACAGCGCTGCCCATTTTCACTCTCTGGCATGGATGTACAGTTCCCAATATTGTCAGCTGTGGAACAGATGTTATTAATCATCAGGATAAGCAGATAACCCCTTCATCAGTCAGCTTATCTGCAAGTGACCAAGGGCAACTCGATCCTCATCAGGTTTTGGGTCTATGAGGATGCAGATTGCCTTTAAATAAAGTCAAGAACCGCACAGTTCACTACCTTATACATGTTACTACAGTCCTAACCCCATCCTCTTACTTCCCTGCATGCAGCCCGCTGGTTGCTCATTCCCTCTGACTAAATTTCCCCTTCACACAGTTTCACCCTAATGATGAAGTGTGCTGTGTCATCCTCCTTCACACCTTTGCATTGCCACTGCCCTCAGTGAATTTCCACTGTTCAGACTAAGCACAGACCTCGACTTGCTGCTAAACATATCCTTAAGGCTTGTTGTACATTTTAGTATTGATTATTTATTTTGAAATCCTGAATTTCTTGTGAAAAGTACCTAGCAGGAGCCATAAAACTCTCAGTGCTCTCATAGAGCTTGATTTATCTTGTGGGATTCATTGGAAAGCTTTCTACTGATTTCACTGTCCTCTGGACTGGAGCTTAATATCAGGAATATAAAGTCCTAAAATGGGAATTCAAGTACCAATCTTGCAGAGATGTATGCATTACTTTGCTTTCATGAGAGTGCTTGTTGAAAGAAAAAAAGAGTAAACTTTATTAGAGTGCACTTAGGTACAAAGGTTAAGATTTTCTGGCTTCAGTGCTCCTGTCTTCACTTGAGCATAACTTTTACTGTGGGAACCACAAACTGGTGAACAACAAGTGTTTATTGTTTAATTGCTGCTGAATGACCAGGGAAAGCAGCAAAGAAGACAAACTTGTTTTTATGTTGGTTTATAAGGCAACACCAAGCCACTTGTTAAAATTCTGTGATAGGTGAGTAATTATAGGATTTTGCTGGAAAATTCCCATTACTTTACTCAGTGAATTTCCTTCACACTGCAGGATTATTTCTGACAACAAATTTTACTGTATTTCTCAAAGTTTTTCTTTTAAAAATGGAGGTGCTTATTTCCTACTTATTTCTCTATTTTCTCACTACTAGAAAATATTAGGTTTAATATTCTGTTTTGGCCACCATACTCTTTTGTTTCATTTTATGAAACAAAATAAGGGCAATTCACTGCAGCTGGTTGTACATTATTCACTCACAGCACTAATACATAGCTTTAAACTATAATATTAATAATTTCTGCTCATTAATATATTTCATAAGTACTGCAAAGAACAAAAAAAAAAGATACACTGATTTAAAAGGTGCTGTACATCTTTATCTCACACTAAACAGAAGAAGAGAATGCTCCTACATCTCAGAGACAGCCTTGACACATAACCAGTAACCCAGAGAAAGCATGTGGCAATAGCATTATATGGAAAAAGCATGAGCTGTAAATAAGAAAATTAAGAATTCAAATGGAACTGTAAAAACTGTTATTAAGGTATTTTTTAAGATTGTTTCCTCTTCGTAGAAGAATCCTCTATTTTGTTAGCTCCAAAAGCCACAGATACAGTCTCCTTTCCCGTGTGGAAAACAGACAACTTTCATTTCAGTTCATTTGAAAGTGCTTATAAGCTGCATAAATCCTCAAAAGCTATGGGGGGAAAATGACAGACAAGACACTGCACAATTTTCATTTTTATTGTTTTTAGAGTCTCCCTTTTGTTCCTGCAGCCCTTGGGTTGGTAGATTCCTACAGTATGAACTTCAAAAAAGAGTCTGAGCAGCTAAACTCATAGCTAGAATTGGTAAACTCAAGTGGAGCTAAAGTACCAGAGCTCATGAAGATCTTCCCACTATCACACTTAGCACAGCTTCAGCCAAAGCTTCAGCATCTTTATTCCACACATATTTAGAGAAACCATCAAAGAGTAGGGGGCTCCCTGCCCACATTCAACTTGATAACTAATGCAACAACTTAATTAAAGGATCTTTTCAATCAGTTCCTTTGGAACTGATTTTGAAAAATCTCAGCCTGTATTTCAATGAATTTTCTTGTATTTCTCAATTTTTAAATATTTTTATAATATTTTGGCCTAAAAATATTGCGCCTACGACTTTTCAGCAACAACTTTGATGCAACATGGGAATTGAAAATCCAGACAGCTTTCTCATGTCTCTCTTTTGCCAGTCTTTCCATACACATAGTGAAGCTAGTTCATTGTGGAAGTAATCCAGAAAGTTAGGAAAAATAAATGTTACGCTGAGAAGCTGAAGATCTTAAAGCTTGTAGAGCAGCATCTTACTTTATGTGGCTCCCAAGCAGAGAATTGTTCCTCTGTGGTGTGTAAAACCTATTGGGCATCACCCTGTGATGTTTTGCATTTTCAAGTATTGTACAGGTTAAGACTGGACATCACCCTTTGTCCTGCAGCTGCTCTGGTAAATGTCCTGAGGCCACGCCTGTACCTCCATCTCTATTGTACAGTTCTGGACACTTGAAGACAAAGTGGTATGAACTTTTAGTTAAGTAGAAGAAATGAAATAAATTAAAAACATTGCTAAAATGATTTATGAGCAGTTTCCCATGTTTACAGGAGGTACAGAAAGACTGGAGTAGACAATGAGAATTTATGGGGGCAGGGGTAGTTTCTGAAGATTTCGTGGTAAGAATGATTCATTGTTATGCCAGACCTTCATGGAAGATTAAACAGAACTTTGCTGCTGCTAAGGTAACAAAGTACACACAAACCCAAGGCTCATGAGTATGTGAAAACAGAAGTATAAAAGTACAACTTTGAACAAAGAACATTCTAGTTATGATAAAAGGTGATTGTATAGTAAGACGCATAGAATAAAGGCATAGAATAAAAATACAGGACAAACAAAATATTATGTTCAGGACTGAAAAAATTACTAAGGTGGCTTTATTTCCACCTGAAAGAAGCAGTCTTTCCAAGGCATTTTAGAAGTTTTCTGGTCCGTGAGTTGTTATTGCCAATCAGTTATTTCCCTGGGTTCTGTGAAATATTACTAAGAAACAGTAAAATCTCATAGATTCTGCAACATAGATTCAGTCCGCATACTTCAAATTTCTAAAGAGGTCTTTATCACTTTTTAAAAATTCCAAGCATCAAAACATTTGAAAATTACAGATTTCAAATGCCATTAAAGGCTCTGACAGTTCAGATCAATCTCTTTTCGTAGAAATGTGACTGTCATAGTAGGGAGAAGAAAATGAATTTAAAGGGTAGAGAAGACACAGTATTCCAGCTTCAACAGAGTATCATCAGCTGCTCTTGCAGTGCAGAACACCAGAGAAAGATAACTGCAAGGCTCTAAACCATACAAAATGGCCAAGATAATGTAATATAACTACAGGACTGTTTCATTTGTTGAGTAATGGCACTCAGTGTGGTGGCTGATAGCAGTCTTGGCCAGACACAGCTTGAAAGCACATGAGATAATGCTGCTTGGAGCCCAAGTCTCTGCATACATCGGAGAAGCCACTGTATTTTTAAGGTATCATTTTGTTCACAGAAGTAACCTCCAGGGCACACTTTCTCCATTGTGCTGAAATGTGCTGCACCTGTGGGCTGTGCATACTCTTATGAATCCTCCTCTACGCGCACAACAGGTCAAGCAGCTCCTAGTCAGGATCACTCTATCCTTTGCAAAATTTTTTTATGTTTTATCAATCATTGATGTTTCTCAATCACAAATTCAGTTTCATCCAAGCCTGTTCTTTCCAGAACCTTCACTGTGGCCAGAAGTTTACATTCAGAGCATTTCTTAGTTTTTCCCACAGTCAGATTTCAGAGATAACATCACAAGATAGAACTCTTTCTCTTTTGACTTGAATTACTCTGAAGCTATGATGAAGCACATGTGTTAAAGTAGGTTCTTGGGAAGAGACAGAGCTGGAACAATTTTGAGAAAGTTATTGATTCTTGCATTTACAAATTTGTGGCACGTTGAGGAGAGCAGAGTTATGCATCTGTTCTTAATTTCAGAATTATTTCTGTACCATCTCTTTATAACTGACAGAAGAAAATAAACCCAAACAAACAAACAAATTTTAAAAAATTCCAGAGATCTTAAGTAAACCTTCCTTCATGCCATTAAATCTAAATGTACTTAGATAATTACAAAGCTGTATGAGTCCATTCTTCTCAGAGTCTGCTCTTTAGCTGAAGTCACAATCTGCTGCTCTTTATTTAAAACATGACTAATTTTAGAATCTGTGGCTGCTTTGATTCCCTCCATGAATTCCTAATACTAAGAAATTTGAAAAGAAAAACATTTTCCTGTGAAGTTCCATATCTGATCTAGGTCAGTCATCTGACTTGTTCAGTCAACTGGACCT